CCCCAAAACCCCAAAACCCCAAAACCCCAAAACCCCAAGCAGTTTACTAAATTGAGTTAAGATTCATGAGAGGTTTACATAAAGTTATTCAACTTTGCCTTCTTCTCTGGCTTGACTTGCCCAAATTGGCTGATTTTCTTACACCCAAAGTCTAGGAAAGAGTCATAGTCAGGAAAGAGACTTTTATCTGGCTTCTTGTACACATATTCTCTGCTATTTATTAGAGCTCTTCTCTTCACTCTTTTAGAGAAACGGAGAAGGTTGTTAGAAGTCTTCCTTCCTGACCTTCTTTTAGTACTAGCAGAAGTCTTTGCTCTGTTACTAGAGCTAGTGGCAAGTCTCTTACAGCTACTCATGGTCTGCATAGTCATGGGTGTTTCTAAGTTAGTGTTCTTCCGAAGATATCTTGACCTAACTTTGTTTTTGCTCTTTTTTGACTTGAGGATGGATCTCATGAATCTTTTGAATCCTTGATTTTTCTGAGTAAATAAGTTCTTCAGTTCAATTCCTCTTTGTCTCAGACCAGCTGTTTCAGAGTGAAGCTTGAGGAGGCTACTATTTTTAAAGGTCTTCTTTAACACAGGCCTCACTTTTGAAGAAGCTTGAGTGAAATTATAAGATTCAAACTCATTTTCATTGATCATTACTTTTGTATATCAAGGTTTCATGGAGCCTTGGATCTTTTTTCTGATGATATCACTCTTGACATGCTCGAAGAGCTTATAGACATCACTCTCTCCGTCAGAGTCAGTTTTGAGGCAGGCTCCTCTTCTACCGAGAGACTTGATTGAACTTTGCTTCAAGATATTTGCCTTTGCTCTTAGTCTACGTCTATTTCTGAAGTTCTTGCTTGAAAATTGAGTTAGCTGCAGACTTTTCGTCAAGAATTCCATTAGCAATGTTCTTCCAGTTTACTATAAAGTTAAGTAGAGTTCCTTACCTCTATTTATCCTCAATGATACTGAACAAGTTAGCAGCATTTGTATCTTTTGCATAACTCACTACTAAGCCATTGATTCCTTTCAACAAGTCTTGTGGAGATTTGGCAACTTTGGCTGTATAAAAACTTGTGATAAATTATCAGTTAAAATCCCTCAAAACCCTAAATTTCCCCAAAACGCTCAGAATTCTTCTGTAATACCCAGGTCTTTTCTGTGGTCCATTGAATGAACTCTGGCTCTTTTGACTCTATTCTGAATTACGGTGTCAGAATCGTGAACTGGGATCATTAATAATTATAATTTTTTACTCTTTGCATCAATACCCTTTACTCCAGTTGGGGTTTTGGGGTTTTGGGGTTTTGGGGTTTTGGGG